CTCGTTGTCTTTGTTCAAAGGGGATACAGCGCAGCCATACAGAGATCAGTTGCACTGACAGCTGACAAATGAAAAGCATCATTCAGCCCTCATAACATATTTCAGACGCTTTATTAAACTACAGCATCAGGCAAGGAGAAGTCAATGGTCAATACGTGAGCTCTAAACATGACTCAATTGACAAACTGATGTCTGAACAAAGAGCACAACAATGCAGCTTTGACACGATGAGCATGTGTTTGCATGTGGTATATTTTTAAAAGTTAAAAAATTTGACTGATAAATAAATAAATGTTGCTTTTATTGTCAGCTGATTGAGTTGCAATTCGGTCTGGATGTGATCAGAATCCAAACTCACCTGCCGTCGTCTGTGTCTGATTGACAAGACTCGTTTCTTGCTGTGTAGCGCTCTCTCCAGTTTGGTCCGTGTGTGATGATTAATTTTGATGTATGTAGTCATTTATTTCGCCGTGCGTGGTTAGTTGACATGCTACAAAACAGACGTCTGTCTCAGCCATAGACTGATCTGCAATATTAAACATTTTAATATTCTGTTTAATATGTCACGCCCACCTCAAATGTGTCTGGACTTTGTTGTAACAACGGTACCAGTATGTGTACCTTAGAGAGGCTGTAAATCTGTATAGGTGTAATAGTTATTTTATCTATTTTTATATTGTCAGTGGCTGGAAACATTCTGCTCTGGGCAAAAAAAAAAAAAAATCCACCCTGATTGTATCACCCACATGTAAAATAATCTGTTTATAATAATACTACCAAAAACATAAGCAAGCAAAAACATAGACATAATGACATTTAGTTAAAGGCACAATATGTTATTTTTGCCGCTAGAGAGCGCGTATTCAAAATAAACAAATAGACAAAGGCATAGTTTGATGACGGTGTGACTGAGTGTGGAATCATGAGAGTTGTCGTCTTCATCCCCACAGCCGAAGCAATCTGACGGGACTCGGGCAGAAATCATGCTCAGCTAATGATTTATTAACGTAGTAGAATGAAGCAGGGTGAGGCTGAAAGCCGTCAAAGCGAAACGAAGGCCACTGAACGAGCGCGACACATGGCTCGAAAGCAGCGGAGCTTTTATTATGCCACAGTCGACCGCTACCGCTCCTTCCGGTCGTGTTAATCATACTAGATACATTTGAAAGTTCTGTTATAATGCTACTCTGTGCAGTCGTCACCGGCCTATTAAAACGCACAACATATTAAAGTGTCTTCGGTGTTTCCATGTTTTCTACAAAAC